AAATACAGTCATTACATCTGATGAGAGCTTCCTCTTCTCCATTTTGTAAATGGGCTGAAAGATCTTGGTGTAAGACATGTCAGAACAATTAAAATGATAGAGAAGCTGAGATGCTTTAGAAAGAAAGATTGTGTATATATTTTCCAAAAATGAGAAGGATTGATAGGAGGGAGAAAAGGGTTCATGAAATAGGGAAGGGTTCATATCACTATGAAATCTATCGCTGTAGCATTCCAATAGGGTCTCTGAAGTGCTAAGAAACACATGAGAGTATAATATGAAACTACAAAAGCAAGAGTTTTCACAAACAAGACTACAGGGGAGAATAAGGAAACAAGAAGGATGGACACACAGGCACCATAAAACCTAAGGTGATGATAATGCAAGTCAACAGAAAGAGAATGCAGCACAATAGAAGACAATTAGGAGAACAATCCTTCCTGATTTATGGTCATCGTGAAAATTAACTGCTCCTTGCTGCCAGAGAGAGTCAGGTGATCAAAGATCACAAAGAGAAAAAGGTGTTGCAGAAACATGCAAAGAGCAGGAGAGACAAGTGAGTAAAGTTGATGGATTCTGAATGGAAGAGGACCACTATGTAGGGGGAAAAGAACAATTTTGCAAATAGGTAGATTGCACAAAAAAAGGGAGATGAATGTGGATGACATGGCTAAGGAATACTTTAAGATACAATTGACTGTGCTTTAAGATGGGTGCAAGTGAAAGAGATGAAAGAAGATCAGGATATTAGAAAAGATACAGAAGAAAAAAAGCAGCATATGAACAACTTATCTTCCATTTTCTCAGTTTGCTCTTAAAGTAAATGGTAGCAAGTATTAAATATCTCTTTAAAAGGAAATACACAAGCAGCTTAGAAATGTGTGTGTTAATCAATGCAGACAGTATAATTATCTTACGGTGATGACTACTATTAAAGAATACATGAAACAAAGGAGATTAAACAAAAGGTGTGGAGTACTTGGAAGGTGAGAGGTGTTGAAATATGTTATTAAACAGTATAATTGAATGGTCAGGAGGAAAAGAAAAAGCAAAAGACAATCTTGTAGTGTACTGAGTGAGTATAGCTATGGGACATCCAAGGGCAAGGGGTATCCGTATGGCATTAAGGATTACTTGCTTTGTTAGAAGGCAATGAAAGTTGAATAAATAGATTAAGTAAGAACCGGTGTTAATGATGCTTACTGGAATTCCACAATGAATCAAAGGGTGACTGAAATCAGGAAGAGCGGCAGTGTTTTATGATTTCAAGTAATATTTATCCATGTAAAATTGATGATAATTAAACATCTGAATTTTAAAATCTGGTAGAAAACAATACAGTGGAAACTCTGAATCACACTAACTATTAAGAGAATATCATCAGTGGTGGTGTTCATCTTCACACTTACTTCAACAAGTATTTTTCTTTTCTAGTCTACCTTCAAGCTTTTCAAAATTCTTTGTCTCATGCTTTGAATCAAACCTTCTCTTTAAGGAAAAACAGTTTCCAAGTAAATTCTGTTTTGAAAGCTAGTTCTGAAATCTAGATGAAAAAGATCACAGTATATGTTACCAGTTATTTCAGCATGAATTTTGCCTTGTGAAAATAATTGTCATGTCTTCAACATTTGATCAGACCAGTCAGTTAATGCATGTTGTCTATTTTGAACGTAACCAAGTTGGTCTGCCAAGGTGAAAAGCATTACAGAATGGATTAACATATGAAAGTAGAGATTAAAGTGCATGTTATATGGGTTCTATTGGCATGATTTTTTATTTTACAGACTAAAAGAGTAGACCTATCAAAATCAAACTTCATTGTTTGTTTTTTCCATTCTCGGAATTAAAAATGTATCTTCTGACACATGCATAGCTGTGTTACATTCTGCTAGTCATTGTTGAAAAATATTCAAGTTATATCATCTTGCAGCATGTGAATAATTCTCTTTTGTTACAATTTGGATGTGGAGTAAAAGGAGTAAGTGGAACTTTTATGTGTCATGGAAGTTTATAATTCATATATATGTATGGATAGGAACAATTATTGGATCCAATATGAAGCATTACATTCCTTAACAAGTAGTGTATCATCTCACAGGGCACTTTCTCATTGTTTTGGCTCTGTTCTTTTTTTGGAAAAATATAATTTTATTTTGGTCACCGAAGACCTATTACTGAGTTTTTCTTTATAGCTTGCATTGAATTAACAAAATAGTACATATGTAATTGATAGCTATCCTGACCTAGATACAGCAGCAGTGACACAGGTTCTGAATTATGGAGCTGTATTATGACGTTGAGCCAAAGTTCACAGTGTGCTTTCCACACTTGGTCTGGAGAGATGTATAGAAATTAACAGTGCATGCTATTTAATTTTCAAGTCTCTCAGAGAGAGGTTTTTCTCCAATTCAACTGAAGTAGGCCTCAGCAAGAGGTTTCTAGGAAAAATTAAATTGATAATATATGCACACGTAGCTATTTTAAAAGTTTTATTCCAGTGGCTATATTTGGTGGGAGGTGCTAGATTTCTAGGATGAAGATCTTATGATGAGTAAATAGTTTAGTTTTGTAAAGTGACTTGCACATGAACTGTATTCCAAAAGATTTTTAAAGTGCTTAGTAAAACAGCTGAGCTTAGATAATAAATAACAACACATAAAGGAGATTTTTAAATAGTTTGAGTATATGAGGGAGATGCATAGACATAAATAAAACAGACTTCTAGCAGTGAAGGTTGATAACAAATGAAAGTGTGTAAGCACTGATATGAAAATGAATTCTCTAAGTTAATTTGCAGTAGAAGTTAAAATTTGCTATACGTGTCAGTAGAGGCAAACAAAGTCCTAATTACTTTCTAAGAGGATCTTCCATGATATACTGATATTTGTAGTAAAAGAGTAATCACACTTCATAACAGGCATCTTTTCTCATCATTGGAGATAAATATGAAAAAGCCAAGATAAAAATATTGAATGTGTCCCTCTTCTGTTGTCAAGAAAAGTTACAGTGTAGCAATACAAAGTGTAAAATCTTAAGAGATTTCTGTTTAGTACTTCAGAGAAAGGGGTCTCTGCACATTTAAATGCTCAACACGAAGACAAGCTTGTGAATGTGCCATAAAGAAGATGATTTAATGAGCTCAAATATATACATGTGTGTATAATTAAAGAGGTGGCATCTGGTTTGTTTGTTTGTAGTTTGTTATGAAATGTATATCATGTTTCTCTGAAAGAGCATGCTGAGCAGCTGAGCACTTTATGCTTTCTCTCAGCTGATAAAATCCCCCCACTAGCAGAGGGGGCTTGCTCTGAGCATGCTTGGGGAAGAGAAGCTTTGGGGGTGCAAAAGGCAAAGCAGGAAAACTGATGTAATATTTAAGGGATAAGAGAGCAAAAAGCCTGGAGAGGGGATGTAGTGGAGATGTACAGTCAGACTGCAAAGGTGGTGGAAAGAATAAAAAATATCTTAAGGGCCTAGAGGAGTTAGGAACTGCTGTAATTGAACATTAGAACTGAGAACAAGAGTATAGAAAAGGACCTACCCTGCCAGGACTTAGGGGGAGATCTTTTTATAATTATTCATGTTTTCTATTTTTTCTTGGAAAATTGATTTTCTATATAAAAAGAAAATTGCTTATAGTCCAAGAAAATTTGGCTTTTGAATGTATGGGCCATTTCTGACATTTGGGGATATTCATGTTAAAAAGGATCTATTGGCAGATCCACCTTTCAGCTTTGACGCACTGTACTGATTTTGGCTGGGATAGAGTTAATTTTCGTCATAGTAGATCCTACGGTATTATGGTTTGGATTTGTGACCAAAACAGTGTTGATAACACAAGAATGTTTCAGTTATCACTGAACAGTGCTTACACAGCATCAAGGCCTTCTCTGTTTCTCATGCTGCCCCTCCCAGCAAACACGCTGGGGATGGGCAAGAAGTTGGGAGGGGACACAGCTGGGACAGCTGGTCCCAATTGACCAAAGGGATATTCCATACCATATAACATCATGCTCAGTGATAAAAGCTGAGGGAAAGGAGAAGGAAGGGGTTCAGGGTTATGATGTTTGTCTTCCCATGTAACCATTAGGCGTGATGGAGCCCTGCTTTCCTGGAAATGGCTAAACACCTGCCTGCCGAAGTAGCCAATGAATTCCTTATTCTGCTTTGCTTACGTGTGCAGCTTTTGCCCTACCTATTAAACTGTCTTTATCTCAATACACAATTTTTTTCATTTTTAACCTTTCCAAATTTCTCCCCCATCCCACTGGGGGGAGTGAGCGAACAGTTGTGTGGGGCTTAGATGACTACTGAGGTTAAACCACAACACCCACTTAGGGTCAGTCAAAACACGTAAGCTGTTCATCTTAATATTTTATTTAGATATAGAAAAGTTTACTAAGTTCTTTCTGGTTACAAATACACAATGCAGTTATTTACATGAGATAATATAATGATGCAACAGATGGCTATTTCACATTGAGTCTTTAAGTACACAGCTTTCATAAACCAGAATTATTGATTGGAAACATTTTTTTCTTAATAAATAGCCTTTCAGCCTCTTCCAGTCCCAAAATCTGGGGAGGAGCAGCAGAAGGTTAATAGATCTAATCTGTATCAGACCTTCACCAAAAGAAGACTAATTTATTTTGCTTTGGCTGCTTCTCTTTCTTTTTACAAAAAAGGGAATTGATATAAATACTTTGCCTCATAGGCTACCAAATTTAGTCATAGATGTTGTTTATATATATTTATTTGCAAAGATGCTACCATATGTCTTTACATAAACAGTATGGAAAACACATTTGCTAGGTGGGTGGGGTTGTTTTGCATTAAGTGGCCAGGATTTGTATTAAAACACGGGCTTTACCTTTCTAAATGCAGTACTTGCAAAGAAGTATTTTGATAATTTTTTAGAAATCATGAATTCCAATGATGTATTTTACTGAAGGTTAATATAAAAATGGATCACTAACTTTTGTTTCCTTGGTTTTTTTTAGGATTTATTTATACCTGTGGTGGAACTTTAAAAGGACTTAATGGCACTATAGAAAGCCCTGGCTTCCCATATGGATATCCAAATGGTGCAAACTGTACATGGGTTATAATAGCAGAAGAAAGAAACAGAATACAGATCGTCTTTCAGTCTTTTGCTCTAGAAGAAGAATATGATTATTTGTCATTATATGATGGGCATCCTCATCCTGCAAACTTTAGGACAAGGTAAAGAATAAACATTATTAAAATGTAACTTGTATTCATATCTTTAAAATATCTGAAAAAATAGTTAAAGCTAGTATTTTTAAATTATAGATTCTTTCTTATTTAGACTTTAAGGTGCACTTTCCTTAATTAATCATAAATGTCTTAAAATAAAAAAAAAATGTGCTTTAATTGTAGTTAAAGTAAGTGCTAAAATTAATCTAGCCCTCATATAAAATTTGTCTCAGCAAAATCTAATTAATGAAGAAGCATATGAGCATGGATAAATACATGTAAAGTGAATATGAGATTGTGGAGGTCTCAGTTTGCACAGTCTAGTAGCAGTGGAACTTTTGTAATCTTTGCAACAGGAGGCTTTCAAGAGAGATCAGAAAAAGATAACGTATTTAAGACAGAGACAATAGGTAATTTTTTTGCAATTGTGTATGAGCACTTTTTAACACAAAGGAATAACAAGAGTGAAAAAAACAGTTTGAAAAATCAAGAATGTGATGGGTCACAGAACATTTTTATCAGTGTCTACTTCAGAGTTCTGGAAGGTTGCAGCTTGAAGGATACATAATAATTCTGCAATAGCAACAGATATGTTATCCATACATTTACTAGTTATCTTTATCATCATCTACCTTGACTTCTGTAAGTCGTCATCTACCTAGACTTCTGCAAGGCCTTTGACAAGGTCCCACACAACATCCTTATTGCTAAATAGGAGAGAGATGGATTTGATGCGTGGACTGTTTGATGGATAAGGAATTGGCTGGATGGCCACATCCAAAGAGTTGCAGTCAATAGCTTAATGTCCAAATGAAGATCAGTAACAAGTGGTGTCCCTCGGGGTCTGTATTGGGACCAATACTATTCAATATCTTTGTTAATGACATGGACAGTGGGATTGAGTGCACCCCCAGCAGGTTTGCAGATGACATCAAGCTGAGTGGTGCAGCTGATTCGCTTGAGGGAAGGGATGCCATCCAGAAAGACATTGACAGGCTTAAGGAGTGTGCCCATGTGAACCTCATGAAGTTCAACAAGGTCAAGTGCAAGGACCTGCACCTGGGTCAGGGTAATCCCCATTATCAATACAGGCTGCTGGATGAAGGGATTGAGAGCAGTCTTGAGGAGAAGGACTTGGGGATATTGGTAGATGAAAAATTGGATATGAACCAGAATTGTGCACTTGCAGCCCAGAAAGCCAACCATATCCTGGGCTGCATCAGAAGAAGTGTGGCCAGCAGGTCACCGCTCTGCTCTTGTGAGAGCCCATCTGGAGTACTGTGTCCAGTTCTGAGGTCCCCAGCACAAGAAAGACATGGACCTGTTAAAGCAGGTCTAGAGGAGGGTCATGAAAATGATCAGAGAGCTGGAACACCTCTTCTATGAAGCAAGGCTGAGAGACTTGGGGCTAAAACTTAAAACATCTTCTCCCCACCCCTCCCTTCTTCCCAGGCTTTACTTTACTCCCGATTTCTCTACCTCCTTCCCCCTCCCCGAGTGGTGCAGGGGGATGCAGAATGGGGGTTGCGGTCAGTTCATCACACGTTGTTTCTGCCGCTCCTTCCTCCTCAGGGGAAGGACTCCTCACACTCTTCCCCTGCTCCAGTGTGGGGTCCCTTCCATGGGAGACAGTCCTCCACAAACTCCTCCAACGTGGGTCCTTCCCACGGGCTACAGTTCTTCATGAACTGCTCCGGTGTGGGTCCCTTCCATGGGGTACAGTCCTTCAGGAACAGACTGGTCCAGCATGGGTCCCCCACGGGGTCACAAGTCCTGCCAGCGTGATCTCCTCTTTCCACAGGTCCTGCCAGGAGCCTGCTCCAGCGCAGGCTTCCCGTGGGGTCACAGCCTCCTTTAGGTGCATCCACCTGCTCTGGCATGGGGTCCTCCACAGGCTGCAGGTGGATATCTGCTCCACCATTCACCTCTATAGGTTGCAGGGGGGCAGCCTGCCTCACCATGGTCTTCACCACAGGCTGCAGGGGAATCTCTGCTCTGGTGCCTGGAGCACCTCCTCCCCCTCTTTCTTCACTGACCTTGGTGTCTGCAGGGTTGTTTCTTTCACATATTCTCACTGCTCTGCTGTCGTTGGTGTTGCCCAGCAGATATGGAGAAATGTATCTCTAATGAAATTGGTTTTCTTTGTACTTCCGTGTTTCCATTTGTATTTCCTGTTTCATGAGTGTTTGTGTGCTCTTCTGATACCAGCTGCAGGAAAGAGGGAACCTATACCTAAAAGATTTGAGGGTTGTCTTCCACAAGAAAAACCAAGAGCATGTAGTTTTTCTCCTTTCTGCCAACTCCTTGAAGGATAAAATTTACATGGAGGAGCCCAAAAAGGCCCCCACTGTCAGTCAAGATTTCTATTGATGAATCCACTCTAATTCGTAATCTCAAAGAGTATGTGAACAACGTTCTGCACAAGTGCAAAAGAATAAAACAATTATTACTGTTAGGAACTTATGGTTCTTACTGAGTTGCAGTTTTAATGAGCATCAGAGAAAACAGGTGAGGGAAGCTAGGAGGATGGAAGGAAGAGGAAAATAATATCTTGCAAGGACAGAAATTTTTTCTTCATATATCTTGTTCAAGCTACCGAGAAGGTTTATATATATTTGTGTGCACATGTATGTTCATATCTATGTATATCTATCTGTCCATATTGATATATAGATACCTATCTACATGTATAGATACCTATCTACATATATAGATATATGTGTGCAGGATTCTTTTTATATTAAACTATGCCTTCAAAGCTGGAGCTTTGAGATACACTTTTTTTAAATGTTGATATCTTGAGAAGAAAGTCAAGGAAGCCTGGCATGCTCAAAAGTTTTGGTATTGTGAATTTAGGATGCCACTACATTCTGGTGAGGAAAAGGATAAGGAGTTCTGTAGAAGAGAATAGAATAAGTCAGCATTTAAAAAGGAAAAGACGATTAAGCCACCATATAGGTCTTGAAATAGACTACTTTTGCAAGTACTGCTTTTTCTAGTGCATTTTCTACTGCATGCAGTAGAAAAATAGTACACATTTGTGTGAGTGGAGAATTGGGTTTTAAATTAAGAAAGTGTGATAGTGAAATTATGAAAGCTTTACTAAATCTTTCATGGTGACGCTTATTTTCTCAGATTGCTCTAGCAAGTAGTAAGGTGATGTTTCCTAGAGTTTTCTTTTTGCAAAAGGTTTTTACTTAAACAAGTAAAGCTTTACTGAGGTACAGTTGCTTGTGGAAACTTCCATTCTAGCATGACAATGCATTTTATCATTTTACTTAGTGACATTAATGAAAGTGTAATCAGATTACACTAGTCACCCTCCCCTTAATTTTGTAACAGACAAAAATGTTTTCAGGGGACTATACAGGTTTATTTGTAAAATATATAACTGGACAGCTAAAAACATTGTCTCAGATAAGACAAGGCCACTCTTTCTTTTTCTACTTCAATATTTTGATTGAAAGAAGTTTCTATATGACTGAAAAAGATTTTGCAGTTGGGCTATTTGTGAAGCTCATGACCTCTGACTCCAGCCTCATCCAGTTTGTACTTCTTTGTTTAATTGTTCTCCTCAGAATTGAATCTTGTTGAAATTTGCAGTCATTGACTGTCTTCAGTGAATACTTAACAGCTTTAACTGGTTTAGATGGCACTTAAATGGCAGCTAAACAATAACAAATGGAAGACAAGCATGTCAGATATGGCCCTTACAGAAAGTGTATGGTCAATATTACACTTTCATTTTGTGTTACTGTATATGCTTGATTTAGCATATTTAATATGCTAGATCTTTGCCTCAAACTATAAATAGAAAAAATATAGAATAGTTTAAAGCTGTGAACTAAATAAAAAAAAAAATCTTTCCATAAATCATATTTGTAAGCACCTACAAAAAAACTGTTTTCAGAAAGATAGTATTACTCACTGTATTTGAACCAAGCTTGCAGCAAAATTTTTTACTTGGGAGTCTTTCTGGGTCATGTCATAGACACTGTCTATTTTTAGGGCTTTCTTGTTGCCCACCTTGTGCCTCTTTGTGACTTTTGTGTATCCTTTCTTTCACACTTATACATCTAGCTCCCTCAAAAAAAATCTTAAAAAAAAATAAAATCAGGGTTTGCTTTTATATAATTACTTTTAAATTGCAACTTGGCATACACTTTATTTTGGAAAGTAGTCAAAACTTCTGACTGTTATTCTGAGTCAAGGTGTTGCATTTCCAGATAGAACTGTTCCATTTTTTCAACATTTCTGCCTTTCACATAATCTTTGTGTGTTACTAGACGAATTGTTTCAGCCAAGCTTTTTGAAGATGCATATCAATAACATGTTTTCAATTTTCTGGGTGCCCAGCTTGAGAAACAAGAGTTTTGTTTGCATTAGTGATAAGAAATCTCAGTTTTAAATGAAGTTAATGGAAGGTATGATTTGAACTGATAAAACATCACATAAATCAACTGCTTTACAAAAGCCAGTTGGAAGCATTTGATGTTACCTCTTGCATGTTATGAAAATATTTTTTAGTATAACTTGTAAATAATTCACTGTAGTAGCTACTGCCATATATTAGGGAGGGGCAGGTAGGAGCGGGGCTGCTCCACGAGGGGCACAAGCCAGGAGCTGAGGGTGACCCCGCTCAGGCTGTGCTCTCACTGACAGGGCACAATCCTGCAGGGGCTGAACACGGGGGGAAGAGCCGGGGACTGGTAACAGGGTCCATCGACAGCACCCTACAGTCCAGCTGTGAGCAAAAAGAAATGGGACCGGCTAAGCTCCCCACAGAGTAGGGCTGAGAGGCTCATACAGGAGGCAGAGACAGGGACAGAGCTGTAGCAGTGTCTGGATGCCTCAGGGTGGGCTGAAATGGAGTCCCAGGACCCATGGGCAGTGGTGGGTGGAAGTCCCAGCTGAGGCTGATCAGGGCCAGGAAAGTCTATTGGTTTCCTCAGGGTCCTGACACTGCATAGAAAAATCTGGGAGAAAATTATTTAATACTTGCCTTT